ATACTAACTAAAGCTAAACTTGCTGAGAGTCAAGCTTTCGAAACAGAGGCATATGTTTGCTAGGGCCAGAGCAGTTTCTGGCAATGAGATAATGTGCATACAACGTGAAATGTAGCCAGTGTTTACACATTCACAAATCAATATACCCAGCAGGGAAATGAAAAGTCAGCAGAACTTATTTATTTTCTTTTGAAAAGCTAGAATATTTTCATTAATTGCCCTACATGCTGAATTAGGCAAATTCTAATATCAATCTCTCTATGAAACAATTTGCATTCTACTGACTATCCAATTGTTATTGCATTCACCAGACTTGATTATCTAGAGACTATCTCAATGGAATTTTACTGCACATGTTAAAAAAAACCTTAGAGACACAGAAAAAAAACTTTGCTATGCATAATAAGGTTGGCACAATGAGTAGATTTTATAGTCTGATAACAAAATGCATAAAGCAAGGGGAACAAAAAACTCCAAAAATTGAGTCCTTTTTTTTTGTATGCATGTTATTTTAAATGTACAACACATTAATTTGTAAAATAAAACATTTCCATGCAAAATTGTTGTGTGCAACAATTAAAATTTCCTTTATTCTAACAATATCAGCATTATCTATATTCGAATTTAACACACCTAAGATGCCGAGGTTTGTATCAGTCCAACAGTGGTTACCCCTCCTTTTATGTGCAGGTGGATGCCTTTATGGGCTTTAAACAGCAGCATCACTTATGATAAAAGAGAAAATGCTTTCTATCTGTAAATATCAACATTTATTTTAGCCAAAATTCAACTTACAACAATGAGCATTTTTCTTGGGGAACACATGAAATTATACATTACACTTGTCATTTCAAAAATCAGTGGCCTTAGCTTATGTGCACTCGAAAAAGAAACAGTTTCCATGCAATAGGAAGAGTGAGAAAGAGTTCAACAAATAAACCTTTAGTATACATATGAGCATACAAATTAGGAGGAGGAGTACGATTAGGATTAGACATTTAGCCTTTTGAGCCTGCTCAATCAATTGATAAGATCAGGGCTGATCTATTTCAGGTTTCTACTATGTTGTCTACCCCCTAATCCCTTTGTCTTCCTTGTCAGTTAAGAATCTAAACAACACAGATTTTGAAATATTAAATATCCCTATAACCATTGATCTTTGGGGCAGAGAATTCCATAGACCAAAACCTTTGAAGCAAAAATTAAAGCTCTACTCATCTCCATCTTAAATGGGAGCCCTCTCATTTTTAAACTTCTATCCCTTACTTTTAAACTTTCCAAAAAACAAAAATTCAGAGCAACATTAAACATGAAATAGAAAAGAGAATAGGTTTAGAACAATACAAAATTATGTACATGTTCTACAACTTGGTAAATCAATACTTTTATAAAACGAACATAAACACAGTCAAGGACCAGGAAATGAAATGTACAATATGTCTTTTGAAACAACTAAGATAAATCTTTTCATTAAAATAGCTCCTCAATGAACTTTTGAGGTTATAGGAGTTGTATCTGCACATACAACAGGTTCAAACAAACAACTCACGGAAGTAACCAAGTTATAACACTGCTCATTTACATTTGAGTGTTGAGAAAAATAACTTGAAATTAAGAGATAGAAAGCATTTGCTCATTGTCAAAATTCAAGCTGCTAGTTAAAGCCTAAAAAGGTGTTCACCTGCACTTAAAAGGAAGGGTAACCTCTTTGGAATTAGCTAATATAATCCTCAGCATTTTAAGCATGTTAACATCGGGAATAAATTATGCTGATACAGTTAGAACAAAGGAAATTTTAATTGTTACAAACAATAATTTTGCATGGAATGTTTTTAGTTTACAAATGAATGTGTTGCACATTTAATATAAATAATGTGTATACAATATAATAATTAAACTCATTATTAGACATTTTTGTTTTGAGGTTTATTATTTGCATTGTTTAACCTGCTCCCCTTGCTTTACACATTTTGTTGTCATACTGTAAAATCAACTCATTGTGCCAACCTTAGTGTGCATAGCAAAGTTATTTTCCATTGTCTCTGAGGTTTTAGTTTTTAAACATGCGCAATAAGATTTCACAGTAACAGTCTCTTAATTTGGGTGTGACTTGAGCTAAAGGGAAATTATGAATGAGTCAACTGCTCTGTCTGTTGTTTAAAAGGTATTAAATGAAATGAGTTATCTAGTTTCAATCAATTTCTCAGACATCAGATATTAGCATAGAAGTGTGCACAAACTTGGCATTATGTGGCACTAGTACAATCCTAAATGTGCACCGGTGGAAATGCCTTCATCTCCAGAAGGGCTATTGTGCAGTTATTAAACTTTTAATGTCTAAGGTTTTGGAGTAGATTTGTAGCTCGGTTTGTGGGTGCAGACGTTTCATTACCTTGAAGCGTTAGAGGCTGCACTGATGATGTTACCCAGCAGGGTAATGAAATGTCTGCGGAACAACAAATCAGCACGGCGAGCCAACCAACCTCAAAACTTTTAATGGAACAGAGATATATGGTAGATTTATTCTATCACCACCAATGCTAATTTATATTACCAGCACAACATCTACCTGTCCTACAAATAATACCTTACATGAGACACTTTGATCACATTCTGTTCCCTTCAATCTATTTCAAATTTTCCTCAATAACTAAATACCCAAATTGACCACTTTCAGCCAATTGTTCACCAGAGCTAATGAGAGCTGTCTGTTTTGCTGCTTCTCCCCCTAGCAAGGATTCATACGAGGAGAGGTGCAAAGAGGAGGAGGATGAGAGGCTGAAGTAGAAGTGGATACTTTTAAAATTATTAACCAAGTTTTAATTAATTCAATAGATTGCATGATTAATGTATGAGGTTAGTTTATTAGCACAACGTTAAATTTCTAATCACTTCAGAAGAATTGCATTTATTTCAACAAATGCTGTTTTATTTCATTTTTAAAGCATATATACATCGAAAATTTACTGCAAACCAAAATCTAATAATTATTTAAGGATGACATGAACGTGAATTGCACTTTTGCTTTCTCAAAATTCGAGAGAAAAATGCCAATAACAAAACTCACTTCACAGTGGTTAAAAACAGTAGGCTAAATTCTATATGGACAATGAAAGGGGCATTGAATATTGCAGAATACCCATGCTGGTAATAAAATTATCAACATATGGTTAAATGAAATCTTCGTCAACTTCATTTCCTACATCCAGTATTTTCTGTTATTTCAATTGCATGTCTCACCTCATCGCTAGACAGAACTAACAATTGGAAGTGATTTTAAGAAAAAAATTATTAATGCTGGAATTCTGAAATAAAATAGAAAATGCTGGATAAATGCACTATGTCGGTCAGCATTTGTAGAAAGAAGATAGGTAGAAGACTTATGAATGCTTATTATTGCCGGTTTTAAAAGGCTGTCCAGATAAATTAAACTCTCTAATTCAGACATCATAAAATTCCACTTTTTTTCCCCACAGTTCCCCACAATTAAAATTCTTTATGGATAATAGGTCGCACTCATCTTGAAATTCCTATTCCAAAAGTTATTTTTGTATAGAATGAGAGAAGTCTCTGTTGATCTTAAAGTAGTCTAGTTTAAAATATGACACATATTGCATATTATCCTAGGAGAATTTTGTCAGCCACTCTAAACATATCTATCTAAACTTCTTTATAAATTTCAAAGTGGTACATGATTTTTCAACAGATAAAAATACACGAGCAATATACATAAATCCTCTGTCTGTGCCAGAAAAGTAGCAACAAAATTCAACGTCCAAGGGCAAACTCGCATATCCGCAATTTTTAACCTGTATTTTTAACAGGTTTTGCACTCACAAATTCCATCATTTACGGGGGTTCTCAGAAATGGAACCTTTGCACATAAGGAGGAATGACTGTAGATACAACATGAAAGCACAAACATGAAGTAGCATGTGTCACATAAGCATCTGGTAATTGCCATCTCCAAAAATAGAGAACCTAACTACATTCTCACGACATTCAATGATATGAGCATGACTGAATTTTCCTTCACCAATGACCAGAAACTCAATCAGTCCAGCTACATAAATGCGAAAGCTTGCAGAAGTCAGTTTGGGAAATCAGGGATGTGGTGGAATTACTTTCCACTTGCATGGATAAGTGCAGTTACAACAACACTCAAAAAGCCCAACCCAATCTGGGATAAAGCAGTCCACTTGATTAGCACCCATCTATTATCTTAAACATGGAGTTTCCTTTTGCCACCAGCACACCAAAGCTGCAGTGTGTACCATATACTGGACAAAAGGCAAAAATTAGTCAAGTTCTGTTCAGCGGCATATCCAAAATACACAACTTTCACCACTCAGAAGATAGCATGGGAACACATAATACAACATGGATATAAACTGTTAGTCCTAACCCTAACCCTCCTCAAAAGGAAGGAGAGAAGGGCAATAAATGCTGGTCTTTCTAGGAAGGACCATACCGGAAGAACAATTCTTTTAAAAATTCCTAACGCAAATGCTGACGTCTAATAAAATATCACTAATAATAGCTTAACGTATGCATATTTTCACCATGAAATCTCAGCAGAAATTTTGGATTGTGCTTTTCGAACAATTACAAGGATTGCATTTTTTGGGAAACATGCTGAAATTCCCACAAACAGCTTTTCCCCATTAATATGAGCTTCAATGCTTAACTAATACTGACATCAGTTCATCATATATCACTCTTATAAGGAACACAGTATAGAGAAATGAAGGAAGACTAAATGAGCAGCTCTGGAGTGCTCTCAGCAATTAAATAAGAAAAATCAAAGAACACAGTAAAAAGGAACAGAAATTGTGAGGAGCATAATAAAAGGAATCATTTCATTTATGTGCGTTCATTCTTGAAAAAGGATTAAAAGGCAGCATGGCATGATATAAAATGCCACTTTTTAATGATTAAATTACTCTGGTCCTTGTAACAAGGTCAATTCCATGCATCTGTTGGAAAATTTAACTACGTACCTGCCCAAAGTGCACTGTTATTGGTCGCCGGTCCTCTCGCTGCTTGCCTTCTTTCTTCTCAGACATGGGGGATGTAATACTCTTCGGTTGGATATCATCTCCTGCTACAGAGTAGCCATTTTCTGCCATTTCCTGCATGGTAGGAAAAGATGATTTGCAAGGCCAGGAACATTCCTGATTAAGGGTAAGGGGCAAAGAGAAGGTACTAGGGGAGAAAGCTATCTAAGCATTATGATGTTAGGAACACGGAAAAGGTAAAAACAAAAATCACAGTCAATGACATATCAATCACAATGCATAAAGAGAGACAATTCTATTGAACTGCTGAGAGTGGAATAGAGAAGAGCAACTCATTAGTCAATAATTTTTTCTTACTACCATGAAGGAAGACTCAGATGTTCATTGAAAGTGCTGTGTTCAAAAAGAAAAGTTCAAACCCATTTTTTAACAAATTTAGACTGACATCAGAATAATTGTTGCAGCTAATGCAGTTATAAATTTGGATCTTGCCGGTTTAGGTGCCATTGCTGCCTCATTCACACCACGAATTGGGGTAGAAATGAGAGAAATTCAGCTTCTGAATGCCTGGAAAGCTCAGTCAGGGAACTGTTAGGAGCGAAATTCATGATCACAAGCAGTAAGTTAACTCACAGGCTCCTATAAATACATGGAAACGTTTAAGAGTAGAGATCTATTAACGCGTCATATTTTAAACCAAAACGAGTCATTCATTCTAAGTAAGTGAGGGTGACAGGTGAGCTATAATAATGCAGAGATTTATGCTCAAATTTTCTGAGTCAGGAAGAACCAAGGAGCACTCAAAATGGCAGGTGTAATTTCTGTGGCTGACAGATCCAATTATTGTGCGTAGGGACGAGGGGGCTGGCTGAGTTTTCTTCTGGATTGCTGTAAAAGCCATAACCTATAATGTGGCAGTTACAAATTTATGGAAGAGATATAAACACTCTTGGAAAGGTGGATAGCTTGCAAAACTGTCATGATATTAAAGTTACTTAAATATCCAAACATTCAAAAACAGAAAAAAAAACAAAATTAAAAAATTGTAGAAAAGTCTCCATTCTAGCAGTTTGAATACCTGTTTGTTGACATTTTCCTAGCAGCTCTTGACGAAAAAGCTTTGCGATTTCCAAAAGCCACATTTATTTCAGAAGGAGATCCTGAGTTATACAGCAATGGAAACAGACCCTTTGGTCCAACTTGTCCATGCTGACCAGATATTCTAAATTAGTTTAGTCCCATTTGCCAGCATTTGGCCCATATCCCTCGAAACTCTTCCTATTCATATACCCATCCAGATGCCTTTTAAATGCTGTAATTGTACCCACCTCCAACACCTCCTCTGGCAGTTCATTCCATACGCGCACAACCCTCTGCGTGAAAAAGTTGCCCCTTAACGTCCCTTTTAAATCTTTCTCCTCTCACTTTAAACCTATGCCCTTTAGTTTCGGACTCCTCTACCCTGGGGAAAAGACCTGGCTAGTCACCCTATCCATGCCCCTCATGATTTTATAACTTCACAGTTTAAAATTGACAAAGAGGTGATTGAAGGATCATCTGTCTTTGATTTGGGGCATGAATTAGAGCTTGTTTGTTTTTATAAGGGATTAACCATTTGATATTTATAAGCTTTGAATAGACTTTTAAGAATGGCAACTTTTTTTTTAAAAAGCATAGTGAAGGTTGTCTTAGAGCTTTTGGATTTTGTTATTTCATTTCAGCCCTATGAGAAGAGGATGAGTAGGTTGAACCTGTACTCATTGGCGTTCAGAAGAATGAGATGCAATCTTATTGAAACATACAAGATTCTTCGAAGATTGGCAGGGTAGATGTAGAGAGGTTGTTCACCTTTTGGAAGGCCCTAGGACCAGAAAGCATGATCTCACAATAAGAGGGAATAATCTCAGACAGGGATGAGAAGGAATATCTTCTCTCCGAGGATAGTGAATCAGTGGAATTCTTTACTGCAAAGGGTTGTCAAAGCTGGTCATTATGTATATTCAGGCTGAAATAGACAGATTGTTAAACAGTGGGGAATCGCGAGTCATTGAGTAAAGGCAGGAAAGTTGAGGGTCATCGAATTAGCTGCAGTCTCACTGAATGGAGGAGCAGATGCGATGGGCCCAATGACCTTCTTCTGCTCCTACATCTTATGGTCTTACAAAGATTCTATTTTTATTACAGGTTAAGTTTGCTTAGGTTTTTAAAGCATTATCTTCAAAAGAACATCACGATGAAGCAGTACGCAGGATCATCCACCCACAAACTGTCAGCGTATTGGAGAGACTTTGGAGAAATATGAAGGCAGATCTCTGGCACTGAGCCTGGCCCTGTGACACAGAAGGGAGGGGGGAGAAAGGAGAGCATTTGTAGTGGGAGATTCGATAGTAAGAGGCACAGGCAGGCAGTTCTGTGGTTGCGAACGATGGTATGGATGGTATGTTGCCTCCCGGGTGCCAGGGTCCGTGATGTCTCGCATTGTGTCTTCAAGATCCTTAAGGGAGAGGGTGAGCAACCAGCAGTCATGGTACACATTGGTACCAATGATATAGGTAGAAAAAGGACTGAGAATGTGAAAAATGAGTACAGGGAGTTAGGTTGGAAGCTGAAGTCCAGGACAAACAGGGCAGTTATCTCTGGATTATTACCAGTGTCATGTGGTAACGAGGTAAGAAATAGGGAGAGAGTGCAGCTAAACACGTGGCTACAGGGCTGGTGTAGGAGGGAGGGTTTCCATTATGTGAATAATTGGAGCACATTCTGGGGAAGGTGGGGCCTGTACAGTAAGGACGGGTTGCACCTGAACCGGAAGGGCACAAATATCCTGGGAGGGAGGTTTCCTCGAGCTATACAGGATGGTTTAAACTAGATTGGCAGGGGGTGGGGAACCGGATTTATAATTCAGAGGATGAGGTATTCAGCCTTCCAACAGACACAACAGGGAGTGAGGTTGTTTATAAAGAAATGCGGTCGATGGAGCATAATTGTGGACACAGAGATGGTTTGAGGTGTGTATACTTCAATGCTAGAAGTATCAGAAATAAGGCGGATGAACTTAGAGCATGGATGGGTACTTGGAATTACGATGTTGTGGCCATTACAGAAACTTAGGTAACTCAGGGAGAGGAATGGTTGTTGGAAGTTCTGGGATTTAGATGCTTTAAAAGAAATAGGGAGAGTGGAAAAAGAGGCAGTGGAGTGGCATTGCTAGTCAGGGCTAGTATAGCAGCTACTGAAAGGCAGTTCGAGAATGATATGTCTACAGTCAGTTTGGGTTGAGGTCCAGAACAAGAAAGGAGCAGTCACTTTGTTGGAGGTTTTTTTTTTTT